TTGTATAGTAATACACCTTTCTCTTTCACTTTTTTTTTCCTCTAAATATTAATTTTTATTTCATTATTTGTTACTTTACAGATTTCATCTGAGTCATTCACAAAGAAAAAAACATTTTCTTGAGTAATTATCTCCTTTTCTGTTTTTAATTTTTTTTATTTGTGTAACCAGATTTTAACAGCATACTATTCAGGGGTGTGGAGCCGTAAAAAAAAAGTAACGACTCCGACTCCAGTTGTTGAAATTTTTTGAGTACAACTCCGACTCCGACTCCAACTCCGACTCTGACTCCAACTCCAAAGCAAAATTTTTGAAAAATTCTTTGAATTCTTTAAAAAATATTGCCTGGTAAGTTATAATTTTTTTTTTGACAAATTTATGAAACATTCTTTGATGTTTAGTATGAACATAAGGTTAATTGAATGTTTTGTACACACACGTGCAATACCAAGAAATTTTACTATCGGAGTCGGAGTCGCGATATTTTTTAGCGACTCCGACTCCGGTAAAATTGTCGCAACTCCGCGACTCCGACTCCACAGCCCTGATACTATTGTATGCTGTTAAAATTTTTCATTTTGTTTCCCAGTTTCAATATGATCAATGCCAGCTATTTGAAGGTAAACTTTGGTTCCAACTTTTTCCTTTTGATATCTAACAAAGTTCAACTCATGAAGAGAAGTTTTTTTTCTTTTTTACAAGTACATACAAAGTGAGCTTATCTGTCACAAAATATAAAGTTTTGTACTACAAAATAATCAGTTTTCTTCACAATTATTTTCTAATCAAAAAAATTTTACAATTACATGTAAACAAATTTATCGAGTGTTTTGCAAGTCTATTTCTAATTAGTGTGGTTACATTGCCATTACTAACTTTAACAGCCAATAACCACAAGTCTTTTATTTTACATTTAATTTTTATTTCAGAACTGATAACAACATATTAATAATTTTTTTCCACTGTAACGAAATGCAACAATAATATCCTTTACAAGCTGATCTAAAGTATAGTTTCTGCAATCCTTTCCACTAATCTTCCTTTAATATAAGCCATACTTTAGGACTTTTCTAGAAGATGGGAGTTCTGAGACTTATTTTAAAATATAATTTCTTACCAAGAATTTACCAATATTCGCCATCAAATTAACTTACAGTTTTACAATTTTTATTTCATAAAGAATACAAAAATCAGTTGGACACAATAAAAGGACTTACATTAAGCTTTGGAAGTTATGGTAAAATTTTTGTGACTTCAAAACTTTTCCTTACAGATTTATTAGAAAGATTAAGCTTCCTAAAGAACAATTATTCAGTGGTTTTATCAGATTTTATAGAATCAAACAAGCTGGAATTACTTAAGGTAACTAATGACTCTGGTCCTACATATACATATCAACATCATACATTACCACACTCTTCTTAAATAACATTGCTCTCTTAAAAAATACATTACTTATTTATTACAAAATGTAATAAAAAAGAGATTATTTATTATTAACAGATAATATTATTATACTACTTATTTGTATTTAAAAAAAAATTTTATTTTTATATTCATTCACCTACCCCAAGGCTGAGAAGGCCAATGATGTCAAGGTAGCTACTTAGTTGTGGTTACAACCCTCTTTCAACTCTATAACTCCAAAACAGCAACCTCGATAAACAAGGCCACTGCGCAGAGAAACTTGTTGAGCACAGAAACAAGTAGAGCGAAATATTAAATATTGATGAGATAGCAGAAGATATATTCCATATTCCAAATTATGCCTAGATTTTTTTGTCTTTAGGATTAAAAATTAATGTATAATATTATTGTATCTTAAAAACTAAAACTCAAAAGATATTGAAAGAACTTTCCTCAATAAAGTGATGGAATTTGAAAGAACAGAGAAACATTTTCAAGCAAACACTTAAAGAAAATATTATATTTCCAATTGCTATAATATGCAGAATTATGAGTTAGTTGATGGTAAAGGCCATGTAATTTTACAAATCCTTGTATATGTTTAAAACACAACAGATTTTGTGCTAGACTTTTTAAAATAACATGGGCCCAACTTGAACGGATTCCATGGGCCCAACTTGAACGGATTAACATTTTTTTTTTTTTTTTTTTTTTTTTTAACATCTTCACTTCCAACAAGGCTGCAAGCAACCACTATAAGAGTTGGAAGTTACTGGAAGAGAAAAGACTAAATCTGTAGAGCAAGATAACGATTGACTGATGACTTAAAAGATTGCAAATTATATGAATCAGGAAAGCAAGATGAAGGAAGCGAATTCCAAAGAACTGATGTTCGAGGAAAAAAACTAGAAGAATAAGAGTTTTTGAAGCACTTAGGAACAGTCACAGAAAAAGGATGAGACTTAATTGAATGGCAAGTAACACGAGAATGAATTTTAGTAGATGGCACAAGGGACGCTAGCTCTTTAGAGCAGTGCCCATTATAGTATTTGTAGAAAAGAGAAAGAGAAGCAACATTACGACGATGTGACAAAGGTTGGAGATTGGCTGCCAGAGCAGGTCCAACTATGTTTACAATTCGTTTTTGCACCTTGTCTAAAAGAGAAAGAGCATCATTAGAAGATCCGCCCCAGATGTGGCAACAGTATTCCATACAGGGACGGATTTGAGATTTATAGAGATAGAGAATAGAATCTGGAGTAAGAAAGTGTCGAGCTCGATAAAGAGATGCAACCTTAGCAGATGCTAATTTTGCAATGGATTTGATATACGGTTTAAAAGAAAGATCAGAAGTAAGAGTTAATCCTAGAAGATGAATGGTAGATGACTCATCTAGTACATTACCATTCATAAATATAGAATGATCTAAATTATTACGATAACGATTGGCCGAATAAAATTGAGTTTTATCTGAATTAAAGTTCACCAGCCACTGTGAGCCCCATGCTGTAGCAGAAGTGAGATCCTTTTCAAGCTCAGATATCCCCTCCAAGCAATCAGAGAGTGTAGGCTTCTTATCATGACAAGAGTAAATGGTAGTGTCGTCAGCGAATAATGCCACCTTAGATGTGAGAATATCTGGAAGATCGTTAATGTAAATTAAAAAGAGTATAGGGCCAAGGATTGAACCTTGAGGAACCCCTGAAGTTACAGGATGTGAAGAAGAGTGTTGTCCATCGAGGACAACTTTTATACTACGATTGGAAAGAAAGGACTCAATAATCTTAAAGACGTTACCAGCTACACCATAAGAAGAAAGCTTATGGAGAAGACCAGCATGCCAAACTTTATCAAAAGCTTTAGAAATGTCAAGTGCGATAGCCTTAACCTCTCCACCTCTATCTAATGCACGGTAAAACCTATCGGTTATTACTGTTAGCACATCAGCTGTAGAACGAGAAGACCGAAATCCATATTGATGATCAGAAAGTAAGTTATTTGATTCAAGATGAGAGATTAAGTGTTTGTTGATTAAAGATTCAAAAACCTTGCTTATGACAGGAAGAAGACTAATGGGACGGTAGTTAGATGAATCAGATCGCTCTCCGGAATTTTTGAAAATAGGGATAACAGATGCTGCTTTCCAGCATGATGGAAAACAAGACTCCGATAAGCACTTGTTAAATAGTTTAGAAAGTATGGATGAAAGCTCCGGAGAACACCTCTGCAAAACTACAACAGGAATGTTGTCAGGACCACAAGCTGTTGAAGAGTCTAAGCAGGAAATTACTTTAGATACAGAAGCTGAAGTGATGCGAATGTCAAGCAAGGGATCAACCTGTTTGACGGCTATGTCAGGTAAAACGCAACTAGTGGAATCAAGAGATGATATTGATGAAAAGTTCTTAGCAAACAATTCAGCTTTGTCTTTAGGTGAGGTGACAAAGTCTGAACCATACAAGAGAGAAGGAATAACAGATTTGCCCTTATTATAGATACTGTTAAAGATTCTCCAGAAGTCTCGAGAGCCTAATTTTTGTGATGAGATACGAGATTTAATAACCTGGGAATAGCGAGCTTTGGCGTCAGACAAAACCTTTTTACAATGGTTTCTGGCGATAGTGAACAGATGTCTGTTTTCTGGAGAATTGTTTTGCTGATAGATATGGAAGTAACGGTTTTGTGGACCCAACTTGAACAGATTAAAGTGCTGAGACAAGATGGGCTCATATTAAAAAGAATGTTTTTAAAAAATGTTTATGCTAATTTTTTTTAAAACAAAATAATAAACAGTAAATTTGTTCAAGTCTTTACAATACATACACTTAAATATAAACACATAAATTTGTTCAAGTCTTTACAATAATACACTTAAACATAAACACATAAACATACACTGCAATCAACAGACTTTATAATTTAAAATTAATTTTAAATTTAAAATTAAATTTAAAATTAAATATATAATTTAAGCACATTTAACTATAAATCAAGCACATGTAAAATTTTAAAGTGTTTTAGTATATGACATTATTGTACAATTTTAATAGGAAATCTAAAACTCTTTTTTTTTTCAAATTATAGAATTTTTTTTTTTCATTATAGATTTCTAAAGAACATGTTTAGTTATTATAATATAACTTTTTTTTTCATCATAAATTACTAAAGAATATGTTTAGTTAATTTATTTTCTAATTTTTTTCAATATCGCATTAAAAATATGAATAAAATATTTCAGATATTTTAAACTTGTCTATTGCTATAAATTTTGTGTTATATTTATTGTTATTAAAATGATATCTTAATTAAGATTCTGTTAAAAAAATAATTTTGTATTATTTAACCATATAAAAGTTTAAATAACAACATTTGCTAAACTTCAAATATTTTTAAAATTTTTATTTAGTTATGCAAGAATTTAATGAAACTATACATTTATTGCTTGTTTTATTTTATTTTTAAAATTGAATGGTTATTGCTAAAGATTGTGAAAAAGTGTAGCATTGAGTCAATTTTAAAATTGAAATCAAAAAAAAATTATGCCATAAAATAATTGCTTCAAGTATGGAAGCATATTGTTATAAAATAAAAACCTGAATCATATTCAATTGTTGCATATGTGTCAGATATAAGTTCACTGTGTGGTCTTCTTTTTTTTTCAAAGCCATTATTTAGATTTCTGTTACTGAAAAAGGTAATAATAAGATGTACTACAAAATATTAAACAACATAAACTTAAAATTTATTTCATTAAAAATTGATATTATATCAGTTTTTTATTTAGCTTAACTACTGAATACCTTAGATTTAGAAGTTTTCTACAAAGATTTTATAATACTATATATAATGGAACGACATTTAATACAAATAAATTTTTAACTATATCAGTTAAGGATCGTCCATAAAGTATGAACATTCCAATGGGGAAGAGGAGTCTGCAAATGGTGTTTATGAAATAGGGGGCAAGCAGGCTTGGACAGGAAGGCATGCGATTTCAAGTCTTTATATGACCACGCAAATAATATTTCGTTTTGATGATTTAACCACGGTTTTTAACAAATGCGCTGAAAAAATTGGTTTTTAATTATGTTGAAAATAAATAACTTCGACAAGTTTGTCTTTACTAAAGTTTTTGTATAGGCAAAACGCTTTTAAATAAAGTAGCTAATGATTTTAACTAAAGTATCATTCAAAGTTGTATAATTTTTTTTATAATTAAAAATAAAAAAAGTAAAAATTAAAAAAAAAATTAAATTTTATAAGTGAGGACTTAAAACAGCGAAGGTCCATTAATAAACTTTATATAAGAACCATGAAAGTTTTAGTTGAGAAGAAAAAAAAAGACAAACTTTTTTGAAAGCCGTTTGAATTAAATAACTTTGATCTTTACTTACGTTTTTATATTATTGAAACAAAGTAACAAATCACTGCTAATGATATTTTATAAAATATTAATGAATAATATATATTTTTTAATATTTATATAAGTATTTATTTTTTATTATAAATGTTTTTAAATAAAAAAAAATTATATCAATTTTTTAAATAAACTATTTAATTATTTTTTCTTTTGTGCGAAGAATTGTTAAGAATCTTTTTTTAAACTTTTAAATGTGTGCATTTATTAAACAATCATCAGTTGTATGTTGTTACTTTACTTTTCACATAATATTATATTATAAAAACATAAGTAAAGATAAACGATTCAAAGTTATTTATTTCAAATGTAATTTAGATAATCTTATCGTTATAGTTTATTATTTATTTTAGTTAAGTTTTAATTTTATTTTTGCAACTTTAGTTTTAGTAAAGTTGTTTTTATTATGTTTTTTTGCTTATGCGACACAATGATTGCAAAAAGTGACCAACGGAGCCATCCAGTTACGTAGACCTGGGAGATGTGAAAATAAAAACAGATTATATTTTTATTATGTTGCTTCTTTAACGATAAGTTTTTTTTTAAGTTTCTTTATAGTTAAGATGATTTTTTTAGCGTGTTTTTAAAACCTATACAAATTTTCAAAACATATTAACAGCTGTCAAGTTAAGTAAAACCAAATAGTATTTGCGTGGTCATATTATGACGTGAGATTACACACCTTCCTGTCCAAACCTGGCGGCAAGCGGTCAATTAAAAAAGTAAGGAGACAATAAATTAAAAAAAATTATAACCATAAAATGTTTGGTAGGTAGGTTAAAAGCATAGGTAATTTCATAGAGTTGGAGGGTACTCAAAAAAACAAATGCGGGAACGGAGAGGGGAGTCAAAATAAAAGCATAAGTTTTTTATGGATGACCCTTTAGAATTACACACAATAAATAAAAAATAATGACCTTGAATTTCCTATGTTAAATGATGATTCAAACATACTTTCAAAACTTTGCTTATTATGATTCTATGAAAAATACAGAATTTTATTTAAAAAATCTATTAACAATTAAAAAAAAATTATAAAAAAAAAAATATAAAAAAAAACTTTTTAAAAACAAGATTTTAAAAATGGACTAAAAAGTAAAAAATAAACCATTTCATGGGACCCAAGAACTTTGTGTATGTGCACAACTTGAAATATCCATCAAAGTCAATGAATGAAAATGTCGAGCAACTAAGTACAACTCATTCCTATTGGCGCCAAACATTTTCAGTCATTGACTTTAATGGATATTTCAGGTTGTACATGTACACAAAATCTTTGGGTCTCGTGAAATAGTTTGTTTTTTACTTTTTAGTCCATTTTTAAGATGTTATTTTTAAAAAGTTTTTTTTATATACCTTTTTTTTATTCAACAAAAATTCTATTTATTTACGCTAAAAGTTTGTTGTTTATTGTTTGTTTTAATTACTTTTCTTAACTATTTTTTTTATTTACGTTAAACTAAAGTCTGCTTAGTTGTTTGTTTTAATTACTTTTTTTAACAATTTCTTTTTTTATTACTGCTGACCTTGGGTTTGTTTTTCGTGGACACCGAAAAAACAACAACAAAAAAACCAACAAGAAAGCAAGTTAAATAAAATGTTGTAAAAAATACAAACATATAAAAATATACATAAAAAAATATATATAACCTGATTAAAATGTGACAATGGATCTATGCAGTCAAAGTTGTCCTGAAAAAAAAAATCAATAATATAAATATCTCCTATAAATAAAATAAATATCTCCTATAAATAACCGTATACAAAATGCAAAAAATTATTTAGTGATAATTTTAATGTTGAAAATACTTTAAAGATTAAAGGTTTTTTTTAAAAACTTTTTAAATAGCTTCTTGATATCATAAGTCAAGTAGTGACCATCCTCAGCAATAAAATATTTGACCAACAAATTTGAAAACTCATTTGAAAAATAAATTTGAAAACTCATTTGATATTGGAAATTTGGAATCTCAATTGACATACTTTCTATGCAAACTTGAAAATTCATTTGACAGGTTTTTAATGTTTGGTAACAAACTAATTCTTGGTAGAATTTGAAGAAAGCAGATGAAGAACATGTAAAAGCTATTGTCATTTTAACTACATTAAAATTAATTAAATTAACTTCATTGTCTAGCAATTTACCATTGTTCTTAACAAATATAGATTCTTTGCATTTAGAGATATTTCAGCATGATTTATTATGGAATCTTAATAAAAAAATAGATGGGATAAAATGTTTATTTGTAACATAATTAGTATAGTTAATGCTGAATGCGCTTAGTTACTATTCTCAGTTATTAGTTATAGTTCTGTTATTCGGTAAAATAGACAACTGTGCAGATGGTTTCCAATCTATTCATGAACTGAACTGTGATCTTAAACAATAAGCTATGCTTTAAAATGTTTACACTTTTGCTTTAAATATAATACATTTTGATTAGGAGTTTAACTTTGTTTATATTTGATTATGTATATATTTATATACATACATATTTGATTTTAAGTTGAACTTTTTAGTTTATCAAAAGATAGATTTTTCAGTTGTTTATTTTTCTATTGTATACATTTTCTATTTCATACGTTGTAACATTTTTGTAGTTTTTAATAAATAAATTGTTTGTTGTTGGTTGTTTGTTTTCTAATTTTTTGGTTTCTTAGATTCTTAAGAATTTAACATTAAATTGACTGGTAAAGTAGTTTTAACATAAATATGACTAGTAAAATAGTTTTAATATTAAAATGACTGGTGAAGTAGTTATAACATTAAAATGACTGGTAAAGCAGTTTTTGAAATTCTTTGACCCTTAATCCTTTTGTCTTCTGTCCAACAGGCAAAGTTAAAAAAATTTAAATGTTTGTCCTTTTTGCAATATTTTATCTTTTAAATTTTTTCATATGTGTTTTCTTCATGTTATTGTATTTCCTTTTATTTATTATTGCCTTGCCTATAATTACATTTGTTACAAAGTTTGACAAAATAATTTAAAAGCAAAGAATTCTTTTCAAATAACTCTCAGAACTTTTTTCAAGTTTTACAAACTTTTTATGAAAAATGCCAGTTCTATTTTTTAACTTTTATTTTGCTTTTGTCAGCTTTTACGTTTAGGCAAAAACTTATGTAGCAAAAATGACAAATGAATTGTTGCTTTATGTATAAAAAATGACTTTAATTCTTACAATAAGAAAATGCAAATTCCTTTATTGTTGATATTTTTTTTTTGCTATTTTAATGAGATTTTATAGTTAGCTTTTCATTGAAGAAATTAATCCCATTGCAAAAATGATCTCATAATAAAGTATAGTTTTAATATCCCATTGCGAAAATGATCTCATAATAAAGTTTTACATTTAAGTTTTTTAAGAGATTCATTTTTTTGTTATATAGTTTTCTTTATAATAAACTGTGCCTGGTTTACCCCTGTTGTGTAGATGCTGACTGTTAAAACTGATTTTGAAAAGTACTTTCATAACAGAAGTTGCGATGTCTTCAATGTTTATTATTTACTAAGAAAATTGACCGATGTTGTGTTTTATTTACTTGTAATTTTTTTTTTTGTTACAAAAATATATTTAGTTTATTTGTTTCATATTTAGCTCTACATCAAATATATATATTTTTTTTATTTTTTTTTATTTGCATTCACTCTAAAAACTATAAAAAAAAACAAATATATATATATATATATTTGTATATATATATATATATATATATATATATATATATATATATATATATATATATATATATATATATATATATATATATATATATATATATATATATATATATATGTTTTTTTGAATAAAAAATATTTTTTGGGGTGCCTCAAGACCCTTAAATATTTGACAAGTCCCAAATATTTTGAAAAGAAAAGTTTTTCTAAAGTATGTCAACCTGGTACTCAAAAGAAGCAAAATTATATAAAAACTTAAAAAATAATGATCAATTTACATAAAAATATTTTTTAATAAAAACTATTGTTTTTAAGGTGATAATAAAAAAAGTCAATATTTTCAAGTTTTATTAAAATAATTTATTAAAACATGTTTTTTATGTAAATTTTTATGACAAAGAGTTTTATAATGATTTTGATACAAAAAAACTTGGTCAGACAAATATTACTTTCAGTTATTTGTTTGTCAGGTCGGGCGAAGCTAATTTTAAAACTAACAAGTGTACTTTTCAAACCAGGAGTATCACCAAAAAAATGCTTATCTTTTAAGTTTGTTTATATGTATATTCTTTTGATGTTGATTGCGCTTTTATTTATCTCATTTCTATTTTTTTAAACTTTGCCATATAACAAGAATTTTTTTTCCTATATTTGTATTACCTGGATATCTGTTTTATACAAATAATATTTAAAACATAATAGTTGTGAGAGTGTTATCAAAGAACATGGATATTTTTGATGTAGTAAATTTATTGTTTTTTCTGTAAAATTTTGCAATCTGGTAGATTTGAGCTAAATTACCCCTTGATATATATATATATATATATATATATATATATATATATATATATATATATATATATATATATATATATATATATATATATATATATATATATATATATATATATATATATATATGTATATATATATATATATATATATATATATATATATATATATATTTATAAAAAATATATATATATAAAATATATATATATAAATATAAAATATATATATAATATATATTTATATATAATATATAATAGAGATGTGCCAGAACAAGTTTCTGAGTCGCCGATTCCGGGTACCCAGCAAAAAATACTGGGTCCAAGTCCAGGTACCCGCACCAGTTTCATATTAAAAAGTTAGAAGCTTGTGAAATCTTTAGCTCTGAATGGTTTTTACAAAATAATGCTGGTTGCACTAATTAAGTTTGCCTAAATATATCAAGTTTCTTTTAAATAAATAAAGTTTCAAAAACAAAGAAAGCAATTTTGTTGCTGAAAATAACAACCACTCTAAAGAAATAAAAATAGTACACAAATTATTTAAATTAATTTTTTATTTTTTGCTATTTATTTATTTAATTAAAATAAATATTATTTTAATTTACTATTAGGTTAGATCTGCTTTGCTTGTTTTTAAAACTTGGTTTTTTATGCAACACTTTCAAACGGCTATGACCAAGTTGTCAAAAACAAAATACTCATGCATGGACATACAAAACAAACAACCGTAAACATTTCCTGGGAAGGCTTCATATTTACATTTGAGGTCACAAATTCAAATTATGCAAACTAATGTGTAAACTCAATGTCTTATTATTTCTCTCTCAGGTTTGTTAACATTAGGAATAACTTGCTGTCTGACGTCGTTAATGCTAAAAACATTAACAGCTTTAAATTTAAAACTTTAAAAAATTCTCCTGTGAAAAAATTCTCTCACACAAGAAAAAGAAGCTACTTAAATATCCATATAAATCAGTTTCCTTTCTGCCATATATTTTGATTGTTTTGCAAAAGTATGTTTTAAAAAATATTTTAATTGAGACTATATTGAGTAAATAGGGCTTTGTAGTTATCGACTCCATAACATTTATTAACTTATAACAAAAAGTTTATTAGTTGAAGTTTAAACTAAAAGCAATCCTGTTAACAATAATTGGACACAATTTAAAGAACCATATAAAAACAAATAGTTGCAGCAATTAAGGCTAATTTTCATTTAACTTTTTTTTAAAGATACCTGGTGCTGAGTACTGCAACAAAATGGCCGATTCCAGGTACCAAAAAACTTAAGTATTAGCAATTAAATGTAACAATTAAACTTTATGTAAGTATTCAGCAAATTTATGAGTTAGTGATTTTTTGATTTCAAAGTTGGTTTTTAACAAAAAAAATTTTAATTAATAAAATAAACTAATATTAAATTTTAAAACTTAACAAAATAATCGTAATATTTTGAGTAAAAAAGTTTGAGAACAATAGACATTTGAAAAGTAAATTTTATTAACTTTTAAATGAATAACCTTGCTATGCTTGATTAAATTTAAAAAAAAAAGTAAAACTAATTGTAAAAAAGTGAATTTTTTTATAAATAAAACTTGTCAAAATTGAAAAAACAAGTAACTACAATAAATATATTATGAACTTATAATGAACGAATACTACATATTTTTTACATATATTTATTTTTGCATACCAACACTTTAGGAAATTCAGGTCAACAGTTGTATGCTGTCATAAACAAAGATTGATTGTCTTTTGAATCAGCATTCCTGAATGTCAACATGAATTTTGCAGGCTGTATGTGTGTGTGTGTGTGTGTGTGTGTGTGTGTGTGTGTGTGTGTGTGTGTATAAATATATATTAGGGTGATTCTAAAAACAACTTTTTTTGAAAATGTCTGCTGGCACCCTCTGAATGTGTTCTATATAATCAAATAATACTTGACTAATTAAATTTTTAAATAAAAAAGTATTTTTAGGGGTTACTACAGAAAATTAAACAGATCCCTAAAATTATCAAAAAGAGTTTTTAAAAAATTCAAAAATAAAAATTTCAAAAATTTGAGTCATTTTATAATTTAATTATCATTTTAGATTTTAGTGAACAGAAAATGATGTTTACAATAGCATTCACATTTGAAGTGATCTTTTTGATCTTTGTAATAGACAGTAAATGGGTGCAAGGTAGCTTGATCGGATTGGTGGTAAAATTTTTGTACAGCACCTAGCACAAGAAAACTAGAGTTCTACAAAATTCATAAAAATAAAACAGGCGTGTTGATATAATGTCTTTTTTGCCTCTGATAAGTAGAAAGGTTGTGTTTCTTTGATGAAGTAGTAGTAACAAAGATCATAAAAAGTTTCACTTAATGTTTCAATAAGCTCAATAATGCTTGCTTCTTTTCAAAAAAAATTTCCAAGAAAGTCTTCAAATTTACTTTACCAGGGTAGTTGGAATATATATGAAACATGCAGCATTGAATATCTATACTACAAACATATACTTTCATCAAATTCTAGTAATATATCAAATGATAAACTTCTTAAACTCCAGATGAAGTTCTTTTAAATGAACAAACATTAAGCATTTTTGTTTATGAGTAACTGTTCTCTTCCTTCAAACTTATTTTTACTTTTTTTTTTTGCATCTAAAAGTTTTTCTAAATCTAAATTTTTCTAAATGTTTATGCACTTTAGCTCTTTTTCCGTATCTATATGTTTTGGGTTTATACCCAATGCTGATGCTACTAGGTTTTTCATATTTGTATACACTTGTTTAACTTTTCCACATTCTAATTTGTTGCATTATATTATTAGAAAGCAGCACTTTCTTGCACTTTTCCACATCCTAATTTGTTGCATTATATTATTAGAAAGAAGCACTTCCTTGCACTTTTCCGCATCCTAATTTGTTGCATTATACTATTAGAAAGCAGCACTTCCTTGCACTTTTCCACATTCTAATTTGTTGCATTATATTATTAGAAAGCAGCACTTCCTTGCACTTATATTTTTGTGTGGATTTCCAATAAAGATTTAGATTTAGATTATATATCAGATTTTAATACAAACTCTTAATGCAATTGAAGTTTACGCTCAAATTATAATCATCTGTAAATAATATCATTATAATTATATTATATGTATAAAATTAAATACATATTATAAAACCATATCAAAAAAATTGAATTAAGACACTTAAGGGGAAAACTGATTACATTCATTCAGGGAAAAGGTCAAAATATACACTTAAGTCAGGACTACATCATCTCATAAGGGATCATCCATAAAGTACGTACGCTCGAAGAGGAAGAGGAGGTCTGCAAATGGCGTTTCTGAGATAAGGGGGCAGTAGGTCAATTATAAAAGTATGGTGACACTAAATTTTAAAAAATATCATAAAATGTTGGGTTAGTAGATTAAAAGCGTAGGTACTTTTAGGGAGGTAGAGAGTACTCAAAAAAGTGTACGGGAAATTGCGGGGGAGGGGTTGGCAAAAAAAAAGCGTACGTACTTTATGGACGACCCCTAAGATATAGTATAGGTCTTTTTTTATTGATTGCCTATATATAAAACTTCCACAGTAAAAAGTTTATCACATTTTTCCAAAAAAGTGATATTTTAATGGGCTGCTGCAAGTTTCAAATTAACTTTTAATGCATAATTTTTACCACAGGTTGTTACCCTAAGTATACAAAGGTAAAAATAAATTGTCACTGCCTGTCTGTAGGTATTGTACGATACTCAAGTACCCAATTTTTTCTAATATTGTGTTATATAGCAACTATGAGGTACAATAACTCAAAAACTGTTTAAAATCAGTCAAAATAACCTGCAAAAATAGATTATTTGGGTGAAAATCAATTATTATACAAAATTTCAGGTGATAATCTTTTTTATTTAAAAACTACCGACCTAGAAGTGTTTGAGGTCGGCAAATAATTGCCGACCTTGTATCTATGTTTTATGATCAAACCTTTATTTTACATTTTTTCTGCCGACCTCACACAGATTACTTTTCCTAATTCCGAGAGCTGATAATATACTGAATTATATACATACTAGTTCTAATCATCCACTGAGTGTAATAAAAAGTATTCCTAAGACTGTTGAATTAATATTATCAGCAACATCGTCAAGTGAATTAATTTTTGAAGAAAGTATTCCTCCTTATCAAGAAGCCCTGAAAAAATTTGGGTACAATTGCAAACTTGCATACCATACAAGTATAAAATCAACAAATGGCAATCATAAAAGCAAGATAATTTGGTATAATCCTCCTTTCAGTGTTGTAACAAAAATAGGTAAGTGTTTTTTGAACCTCATCGACCATGTATATGCCACATTAAAGTTCGATATTCAAACCACTTAAAATCCTTTAATACAGTTAGATATAAAAATGATACAGAGTTATCTAAAGAGGTATGGAAATTAAAAGAAAAAAACATTACACCTTTTGACAGATAGAAGATTCTTAAACAATGCAAACCATACAACCCAGCATAAAGAGTTTGCAACCTCTGTTTGAACGAGAAGTTTCAAATTTTGCTGTATAAAGGAGAAAACCTACTTAACACAAGGAGTGAAATAATCTCAAAGTGTAGGCACAAAAATAAATTCCTTATTTCCTCATTTGATACCGCAGATTGATCCAGGTTGGTTTACCATGTATATGCCACGTTATACTTTTAAAACTTTCAAAATTTCTTTCTATGGAGTCATTAGAACTTATGCCACTGTAATTCTAATTTTAACGTTTAATTTTTAATTTTGTAATATATGGCTAATGATTGCCATTAAGCATAAAACTTTAAGTTCCATAATAAAAAATTTTTCTTTTTTGCTTTTAATTATATATATATATATATATATATATATATATATATATATATATATATATATATATATATATATATATATATATATATATATATATATATATATATATATATATATATATATATATATATATATATATATATGTATATATATATATATATATATATATATATATATATATATATATATATATATATATATATATACATATATATATATATATATATATATATATATATATATATATATATATATATATATATATATATATATATATATATATATATATATATATATATATATATATATATATATATATATATACTGGATGAAATAATATTTTGATTGATCATTTATTTTAATAAATATTTCTGCTAATGAACATGCATAAAAAAAAGACTTACTTTTGAATGCTGATTGAGTCGATTATATTCATCATCATTTCCGTCTTCTGGAATGAACACTCCTCCACCATTCTAAAGAAAACTAAATAACCTGAAATTTTTATGTATAGTAAAATTAAAAATAAATATACTTGTTAATGATTAAAAAGCACTACACAAAATGTCACAAATGTGACACACATATTAACAACTGACACATAATAACAACAACAGACATAACAACAACTAAAACACATAACAACAAAAATAAATAATAACAACAACACACATAATAACAATGAAACACACAATAACAATGACACCCATAATAACAATTAAACACATAAAAACAATGACACACATAATAACAATGACACACATAATAAGAACATTCTACTATTTTAATATTTGCATTTGTTTTATTTTTGGATTCATATTTTGAGAAAAGGAAAAATATACAAGGATTTTTTTTAAAAAACAAAGCATAATTATATTTGTAAAACCTTTCTTATTTTTTACTTAAACTTTAAGTTTCTTCCTTGACAAAATCATTAGAAAGAATTTAAAAAGCATCAAGATATATTTTACAATATCAATTATGTAAAACTTGTAAACTTAACATAAGCATGAAAAAAATAGGTACAGTAGGTTGGAAAAATTCTTTGTCAACTATTAGTTTTCTTTATCATGATCTATATCATTTATTATTTTGAAAAAATGCATCAACAAAATTCACAAATTTAAATTTATAATAATTTTGTAAATGGTTAAAAAAAATTTTAATATCTTTGCTAATGTAAATGAGTTTTGAGGATGATATTTCATGTAATTTTAATTTAATTTGGTATTTCATGTATTACTATAAAGCCATCTCTGCAATAAATTAAGTTTTTAAGAATTTTAAAAATTATGTTCTAAAAAAATTATGATCTGTTATAACTGTCCATTGTAACATCAACTTTTACTTCTAATAATTGTTTTAACATTTTAGAAAAGTTGCTTTGATGTTACAATGATAATGAAATCCATTCAATATTCTTCTTTAAAGAAGAATATTGAAGAAATTCCATCATCATTTAGTGATTCTTTAGGCCAGTGATTGACAGAAACAGAACACATGCAAAAACCAAAATAAACTGAAATTTCGTTAAACATGTTATGGCTGATAAAGAACCTGTTAACTCTATACTTTGCACAATATCAGTCTCCATCCCTATGTTCTTTAGTAACTAAAAGTAATCTTGGCTTATCATTAATATGATTGGACATGGCAGCTCAAAGCTTTTTGTCTTTTAAGTTTGAATTTATTATTTAATCATACACTGTGGTCAAACATTCATCGAAAAGAGCTAATAAACTAGTTAAAGAATTGGTTGGCAAATCAACCAAAAATTGAATTGTTTGGCAAATCAACCAAGAATTGAATCAACCAAAGAGAAGAGAAGATTTTTACTTGCAAAACTAATTGTATAAAAGATATAGGCAAAACACAGTTTAGTTACTAATAAATGTTGAGCATTATTAATTTTTTTTTTTTTTTTTTTTTCCTTTAATTATTCACCTCCCCAAGGCCCGAGGGGGCCACTACAGTCGAGGAGGCTACTCATTTTTTTTTTTTTAATTTTTTTTTGTTGTAAATCGTGGTACAACCCTCTCTCAACTCTTTTAACTTCGAAACACGAACCTTGACAAGCAAGGCCGCTGCGCGGAGAAATTAAGTTGAGCGTGGTACTTCCAGGGACATGGTGGGAGTCGAACTCCGAACCTCTCGCTTACAAAGCGAGCGCTCTTACCACTACACCACTACCGCATAATTTAATAAAAGTCAATTGTTACATTAATTTTATCTCAATATATTTTCCTCAACTCTATCCTGCAAACTCAAAAGAAAGGGTTGCTAAAAAAAAGGAATTTTTTCACTTTCCTCAGATTCATCTCAAAATTTAATATCAAAAATAATAATAAAATATTTGATTGGCTTAATATATACCTTATTCTGAACCACCCTTGAGTTCAGCACAACACTTCTGGGCACATAAACTCCTGTACCTCTTATGTGGATCTAAATTCCTGAATCTAATCCTTACAAAGCAAACACTACAATTACACCACTTTTAACAAGTTTTAAAAGGTTTCTCGAGTTAGCAATTTAAGTCTGTCAGTAAAATAATTTTTACAAGTTTTGAATTCAGAAATAGATTTGCATTCAAGTTTTAAAGGGCTCATGTTTTATCAAGATCAATATGGCAGTTATATAAAACTATGAAAAATTAAAAAAAATTTTTGAATTTAATTTTAATTTTTTATTAAATTCAAAATTTTTTTGAATTTAATAAAAAATGCTGACTGGTTTATTACTGTTTTATCAAGAAAAACGTTGCTAAAAATAAATCTACTTACTTGCACTTCGTGAGTATCTAAATTGTTTTTTAAATGATAATGACCAGGTGGCGGTGAATCTCCATAATTTAAGCTACTACGTGGAATATGCATTGAGTGGGGTCTGACCAGATTACTAAGTTCTATATCTGGAGAACTAAGCTCTTCTGGATTAGAACGTGTTCTAAAAAAAATCTTTAGAACTTAACTACTCTATATCAAGGAAAAAATTGAATAAATAAATATACTGTAAAATTGCCTAAAAATGCCCTTTGGTCACAAAGTAACTTTGGTCATTTAAGAATAAATAACAAAATTGCATATGCATTTTTTACAAACATTTAAGAATAAATAACAAAATTGCATATGCAATTTTTACAAACTTTTTCTTCTCCAAAAATATTTGTTCCCACATAAGCATAAAAAATTTGCTATCACATAATCATAAAAAAACAAGAGTTTTCATATTATGTATACTATTGAAATCTAAAATAAGCAAAGTATTGAACAAAATGATTAAATTTAGCACTAGTGATACTGGAATGTTAAATTTTTAATATTGTGATGTGTTGATAGGAATGTACATAGTGACTGAACTTATGAGATGGTATTAAGAGTTCAGTCAAACTAGGGGTCATCCGTAAAGTATGTATGCATAAATGGGGCGAGGGGGTTCCAAAAGCGTACAAACGTGTGCAAGGGGGTGAGGGGGTGTTAAAGACAGTGAGTACGTACGCGGTTAGACTATCTCTCCTAAACTACTGATCACAAACTGGTTTTTATCATTTCTCTTAAAATGTTAAAATATGAAGTAACATTTTAAGATTTAAATAAGTTTATTAAGTAACATATTAAGTTTTAATTAAATACAGAGAAATATCAAATAAACTGAATGTCTTTTTGTTTTTAATTTTTTAATGTTTTGAAATATTTATGCATTGGGAAAAATGGGGGGGGGGAATTTGGGCTTTATTTTAAAAAAAAAAGTTTGTACGCATGCGGGGGGTGGAGGAGGGGTAGTGAGGGAGTCCTAAATCAGTGATTTTACTATGTATGTACCTTATGGATAGCCCACTAGCTGTTCTCATTTGAAATAAAATATCCAATGGTAGTTTTTATTTTTTATTATTTCATTTTTACAATTTAGGATAAAATACATTACAAATTAAGGATAAAATTGATAAAATTTGGAAAATAAATTGAAAAACATTTACTAATGCCTGAGATGTTCAAAGCTTAAGTGACCTAATGATGTTCAAGATGTTTACTAATGCCTGAATGTTTAAAGCTTAAGTGACCTAATTTGTGGGATTTTAAAGTATTAATTTAAATATAAATATATAAACAAGTTTACCTTATTGGGAGAGGTCTGGAAGCAACCTAAAATTAAATTACAATTAATGTAATTAATTTTATACAACAAACTTCTTCTACTTACAAAATACAAATTTATACAAAGTAGACATACATAAGATAATATATTTTCATTGTAGTCATTAACACGATCATGTTCAAGGAGTGTATCTGATGAAATGGACTTCTGAGTAAGAGTTAAGCGCAAGCTGGTTAAATGAGGCGATTGATCCAATAATGCAATAGCTTTGTCTAAATCTCTCTGTTTTGTTATAGGAATGTAAACCTGAAAAATTATTTATCTTAATATAACTAATTATTTTAATATAATATTTGTTTATAATTAATATAAATAGTTTAATCTTCCTAATATAAATATTTAAGCATACTGCTCCGTTTTCATAATTGATATCTAATTCTTCCCCAAAAGCTTTTTTTATTTTTATCTGCAATTGATCAATCATAACAGGACGAGCAATTGGAACAATCCTAAAATAAACTTATTACATAAAATAAACATATTACATAAAAAAAACATATTACATAAAATAAACATATTACATAAAATAAATCCACAAGAAAATCAAATAACAATAAAACACAAATTTACAAAACATTTTGCAAAATCAAACAGTATTCTTTACATGCTTAATTATTAACCTTATTCAATATTAACAAAAACTCTCACACTGGTTTTTACTTTTTAATTCACTTGAATACTTTACAAATACTTTACTTAACTTGTATTACATATGAAAGATGGAGAAATGCTATTTGAATAATTTTGTATAGTTGCTATCTATTGTTTTGTGTTTAATTGTTACTTAACATAATACCTTTGTTTTTACTTGTTACTTAAGAAATCACTATTAATTTACATTTAAACTGAGATTAACTATTTTTAGTTTAGTTATAACGTTTTTAAACTCAAAACCATTAAATTAAGGTCTTAATTTTAGATTAACTTTTAGGTGACGTAAAATTTGTAGCTAATCAAAGAAAAAACAAAAAACCTTCTTTCGCCTTGATACTCCAGTTTCACTCTCATGTCAACCTAAACAAAAAGTTAATGTTTTATTTTTAAATTAAAAATTACAATACAAATTTAAATTAGTGTTGTTACGACTATTAAATAATTCGACTGTCAACTAAATTGACTAATATATTTTCTAAAGTTGACTAAAATCATTTTCAAAATTATTCGACTAAAAGTCGATTCAGTCAAAATATAGAAATAATTTATTTTCTTAAAATAAATTGTCATGAAAATAATAAAGTAATTTATTTTTGCTTTCTATTTTTTAACATCATATCATTTAAATGTTAATAGAGCAAAAAAATATGAGAATGGCCGCTCATACAACTGAACAATTTATTCCCAGAACCCCAATGGTTTAAGGACTGCCTAAAATACTTGTATAATTTTGAAAAAAAGCTGCCTAAAATAAGTACAATTTTTTTTTCTTAATTTGTATTTTTATTAAGGTGATCCCAGAAGTCTTTATGGTCTTATTACAGAACCTTGGAAGAGCATAAATAATGCTAAATTGCTATGAATTAGATAAAAAAAGAGAGTAAACAAAAAATAGGTAATAGCTATAATTAGAGATACCATACTTCTTAAATTAGTCATTCATTATTTACACTGCCACCGACAAATAATAAGAAAATTTTAGTAAGTTCTGTTAGAATAATGTTTTGTGTTTGTTGATCAACACTTGTAAGGGTTTGCTGTCCAGTTCAAGTGAACGGTTTCATGTAAAAACTAATACCATTTGCAATTGGAATTATTCTTTCTCACATCTTCATATGCACGCATTTTTTTTTTTATTTCACAAAAAAAATTTTTTTTTTAATATTTAAGAAGTTTAGTTTGATCATTTTCATTTATATTTCTTATTCTTACGAAGTGAAGCTAAATCATCACACTAGTCACCAGTGATTTTTCATCTGTGTCAAGCAGCCTTTCCCTGAGAAGGATTTATCGCATTGTTTTATCGCAACCGTATAATTTTCCCGTTAAAGTTAAAACATGTTTTAAGTTCAGGTTGTGAAAATTTATCTGTATCAATTTCTAAAATTTCTGAAATGCAATTATTAATTATTTTAATCTTTTTGAGTGGTTTGAAGAGTATGATGCGTTTATTTATAACTATAATTAAATCAAAATGATGTAACAGTCAACAAATAATGTGTGCTGTTACACACAAGTTATAAATTAAACAAAAAGACCCACAGTGTAGTTAACATAATGTGGATATTCTGGCAAAAACGTTTAATGTGGATATTCTGGCAAAAAACATTAACTCAAAAATCCCTGTTAAGAGAAATCAATCATTTAAGTTTTCTTCCAATTCAAAACTTTTATAATCTTATTAAATTGCATTTGGTGTTGACATTTAAATACACCATAATGTTAAATGTTTATATAAGAAAATACTTATAGCTTTTATTTATTTTTTAATTTAAGCACTTCAAGCCTAAATAAAACACTCTTTTTATGAGTTAGAGTTTTATGAGCCAGAGAAAAAATCATGTTTTATTTAACTTTATAGAGTTTTTTCCAGTTTGTAGAGCGTTGTAAACTTTCTAACATCATTAAGTCAAAACTGTCAATATTTGGGTCAATGTCTTTTGCCAGTATACTGACAATATTCACTTCAATGAACCATCAAAATAATAACAAATAATCAGCTG